AAAGTCTACAATGTGCACCTTATAAAAGGGCATATGATATGCACTTATTATGTGGTCCATATCGTGCCACATCATAAAAAATGACCTGCTAAACCGGTCATGTAATAGGTTACAGAAAGAATCATAACTTTTTTTCAAATATCATAACAATATTACAATGAATCATAACAATGTCATAATATTCACCAAAGTGTCATAACAAAGACACTATAAATCATAACAATATAACGACAACTCATAACAAATATAGGTATTTCTAATCAATTATCATAACATTTGAATCGTAACATTTTTTATTATGATTCATCATGACAAATCATAACGTTTGGTAGTAAAATCATATCTTTTACTAAAATGAATCATAACCACAACTTTTTTCTCCACAATCATAATAAGATTAACAAAATGTCATAACTTTTACTAATGAATCATACACTACAAGAATTTTCACTTTTGGCGACTAAATTTTTAGTCACCAAAAGTTAATTTTTAGTCGCCGAAGGGTTTTAGCAACTAAATTATTTGGTCGCAATAGTCGTCGTCAAAGAATTGTCGGTAAAGGTAATTAGCGACTAAAATTATTTCAGTCTTCCATTTGAATTCACCTACACACTAAATCTAAACAGGATTTCGCATTCAAGAATCAATCATGCATGCTTTCTTCGGATGCTTTTGCAAAAGTCAAAAAGAATTCTGGTTTAATGATCATACCTTGCTGTACCAGGAAGAAGGAGATCCACATCCACTTCCTCATCACCAGTAGCAGATGCAGCCCTCAATTGGCTGCCTCTGATATGAGGGCCTACAACACTACTATTATCACCGCCTCTATGGGGGAACAGAACAAGGCCTTGTGGGTAGTTGGAGATTTCATCCTCCATAGATTCTGATTGGATCATATCAACAAAATTTAGTTAAGAGTTTCATGTCCCAATAGATGATGCAGTTATATTTGTATAAAGAGGGGAATGGTGATTTCAGATTAGATGAAAGAATCCAATTATTATGGCTTTGGGTATCCAAAGAAGAAAAAAATATTTGCGTTCAACATTTATGCATAAATCAAACCTAGCATATTGTATGAAAGATCCAAATCCTTTAAGAACCAGCTATCAAGATCAGGAATCGTGTTTGAATCTTGGATTTGTGAAGGGAAATGAAAAGAGACATGTAAAAAAAAAAAATCAAATACATAAATAGCATCTACTTCATTCACTTTTCCCTTCTCATTTCTTTTTTCCTACACAAATTGCTCCACAAATCCAAGATCCAAAAACAGACTAAAGAAAAAGTCAAGGAAAGGCTTCAGTCTTTCGAAATACTAATAACAAGCAGTTAAATGTTGGCCCAGTGTCATCTAGAGGCTTTTTGTGACCTATACATGATCACAAAAAACAAACAAATAATAAATGGAAAAACAAAAAAAACGGAGGAAAACTCCGAAAACTTGAATAATTGCATTTCCACTACAAGCTATAAGCCTATAAAAAATTTGAGCGATAGAAATTTGCAGCTATTTCCCTCATAGATTAACAGCATACCATTGATCGTCCTCAGTTTTTGTTTACTTCACAGCACAATAACACAGTGGATAACATATCAATCAAGTTTTGTATGTGTTAATTTCCTTGAGGTTTCCACACCTATCTTTTTTCTTTTTACTCCTTGTGACAAGCAACAATATAAAGGCAAAGTTCCGTGCAAATTATACAAGCTTATTGGAGTACCACATTCACAATTTTATCGTCTTTCATGCTTGTTACAGTTTCACATTCAGGAAGGTATTTTGTTATTTGACCAACAATCAGGAAGTTCAAACAGCATCATATTGGAGTACTGAAGAAAATCAGTTGCTGGATATGAATGAAGTTCACCTTCTTCTGCAACAATTCCCAACCCATCTGCTCTTAAACTTCGATTGTAAGACATAAGAGATCGCAGGTGTTGAGGGGCTCGATAATGAACACCCAACAGAAGGCTGTAATCCATAATGTGCTGTGTTTCTAAAAATTTACTGTCAATTTCAATCTGCCTACATAAGCATAGTTAAATGAGAATTAGAAGATACAAACAACAGCATATGCATGAAAAGAAAACCAAAGCACATGAAATATGCATTGCATTTTAAATATGCTCAAAATCATAGTTGAAATATAAGTTTAAAATATGCATGCTAATAACACCTTGGAGGTTTAAGGAAACAACATTGGAAAATAATAATTCCATTTTGTTTTGACAACTGAATGCATTTCTTTTATTCTTTTCATGGCGTTAACCTGTATATATCTTATGTCAACCTAAGTAATATCATTAAGGATTTCAATATACAGTTTCATTCTTTTATCATTTTTTGGGACATTGGTACCAAGATTTCATGTAGACTTTAACATCCTCTGGAAATCATTATTTTTATAAGTTTCCTATATTCCAAGTATACAACCACATTGAAACTTAAAACATCTCAGTAGCGGGGCTCAGGATTTGAGACATAAAAATGCTCATGAACCATTGGCAGCTCAGGTAATTTCATGACAACATGCATGGTTGAAAATTTCCATAATTTAATTGTTCAATTGATAGAAGAGTAATATGTGAAAGACCCATGTGATTTACCAAAATGGTAATGCAAACATAAATAACTGCACGGTGATAAACTACAGCAAAATGAAACAGTTTTGCTGATTGTTAATTTATTTTGATTGCCCCCTTCAAAGAAATATAGAAAGAAAGTCGTGCTCTGCATTGGAAGGTCATTCAGCTCCCTCCATCCAAATAACATCACTTCTGATACATGGGAGAAATCATATCTAATTCTAAATTGCTTTCCTCATAATATTTAGCTATAAACATCATTTGGTAAGAATTAAGAACTGTCTGCATATTGCACTGCTCTTGATTAATCGAACACAACTGCAGAGAAAACGGAGTAATGATTATCATTCCTCATCCACACTTAAAACTAGCACCAATTAGCAACCGAGATTGAGGAAATTCTTGGCAGGTTTTATGATTAGTTGAAAAACAAAAACTCTGGCAGACTATCTGCGTGCTGTCTCAAAAACAAAGGGGCTTTTGGGAAAAAAAATTGAAGAAATTTGAAAAAAATGTAACCAGTTGAAGAGGTTCTCAAGATTCCTAATCAAATTATTTAGTGGCTGAGATTAATTTGTAAAAATCTAATGGCTTCAAATAAATATGTATATGATGTGCACATCTTATTGAGGTGCATATCTTAACAGCTCCCTTAAAAATTTAATAAAACTTGAAAATCTAAAAAAATTTAGGTAACACTTAATGGAGTATAAATTCATAAATTAGAACTTAGGTATAAATATCCCATAAATTAGTACTGGCACGTGAATGGCACATGCTCGAGCTTCGTATAAGTGCTGTGCTCCTCTTCTATCTTCCTGTTGCTAACCCTAGGACGGCAGTTCGTATCAGGTACTCTCTCTCTCTCTCTCTCTCTCTCTCTCTCTCATGCGATGTTGAGTCTGTATTCTACAAACTCACTGCTAGATTTTACGTTTCTATTAAATTTTCGATGCTATTTTTTGATTAATTTGTGCAGGGGTATTAGGTAGATTTTTTTAGGGTTTAGGGTTACCGCACTCAACAATGGCTCCTGCTAAAGGTATGTACTCCATTTCTCATCATATATATATACACCTAACCATAGAGCTCTAATTTGCTATTGATTTGTGGTTACCTAGAATCAGGATGGAACTAGGAGAAGACTCTGGGGGCCATGTTTCTGTGAAAAATATGGTTTGTCATAGTATTTTAAAAATATATCTCATTTAATATATAAAATGGCCCACAGTACAAAAAATACATATCTCATTTTTCTCCTATCTTGCGCTCTCTTTTTATTTTGCACCAAAAAAACTTTATCCTATTAGAAATTATTCTATGCTATTTGAATTTTTTTTTGTGTATATACATAATTTATATATCATATTATACATACATTCGTGCATATGTATATAGTAAAAAAAAATTTGTTTGTCTTTTGGTCCTTCCGGTGATGAAACCCCTGTTCCGTACCTGTCTGGAATAAAATGAGCTTTGAATACCATAACAATTGTTTGAAAGGTACTTATTCTGAGAGAGATTCTCATTTGAGACCAATATATATTTTTAGAGCAATGCTACATCACCTGAATTTTGGCTTGCCGGTCATCCGGCAACAAGGTGACATAGTTGACAAGGGTGATGACTGTGGTAGACAAGGGTTGCACCGTCCCAGACGATGATCGGAATGCACAAATTTGGGCAATTCGGGCAAACTCATATTCAAGCTACCAATAATTTTTAATATTTTTATGGAAGTAATCATGATGCCAAACTATTTAGGTAGTAGGGTGTTGTATCATTTTATTGGGTATGTTGGTCTGTGTTGAAGCGGGCAGGCGGTAGCAAAATTAATCTTAAGACTGAGTCATAAAACCCTTAATTATATAAAAACTGAGATTTACTGATAAAGCGAAAGAAAAGAATCAGAGAAGAACCAGCTGTTAAGGTCCAGCAACAAACATGAATCAGTCTAAGTGAGATAGGTTAGTCATTGTTTTTTGGTCTTATCTAGATATATAGCAGAATTTTCAAAAAAAAAAATAGCGAGGACAATTTTTGTATTTTTATTTGTATTATATAAGTTAGAATAAAATCCACCAAGGCTATGTTTGGATCATTTTATTTGGGTAGGGATTCAAAAAGGTAAAGGAAAACGTGAGGGAAATAGGGAAAAAAATAGCTTATATTTCATTCATATTTCCCTTATGAAGCATGGGTACTTCGAAAAACATGCCGTACATGTACCGGGTACTTACCAGCGTATGGTACCTCGTATGGTACTTCTTCATATGTACCGGGTACACGAATCACATACTCAAATTTTTTTTTCTTAATTTTTGGTGTACCCAGACGTACCTATATACCCAAGCCAAGTCGTATCGTACCGTACCTTAGTTGAAACAATATTTTCTTCTACTACAGAGATAAAACTTCTTTCACTAGATTTTTTTTTTTATTTTTAGTTTTATGCTTAGCATGATTTTAAAATTAAACTATGGTTTGTAAGTTATTTAAGATATTGTCATTTAATTTTGATTTGTATCTTTACTTTTAGCATTAAATGTTAATTACAGGTTGGATCTTAACAAATTAAATCATTTAATTAATTTTTGTATTACTTTAAATTAAAAATAAATATTTTTTTATAAGCGTTCCAAGCCGTAGCCATAGCCGTAGCCGTACCCTATGTTTTTTGGATTTTATCGTATCGACGTATCCATATCGTACCAGTACTAGTACCAGTACTCATGCTTCATACTTTTTCCTTTTACTTCACAAATCCTTACCCAAATCTTAGATCCAAACATAGCTTAGAAGTGTCAATAGATGCACATCGTTCAAAAAGAATAGATGCACTGTTTAAAGGAGCCAAGAAAAAAGTACCCCTTTTTTTATAAATAATAATTTTCTTTAAAAGACCAAGATGAACATGTTATATAAGGATATGCTTAAAGGCCTTAATTAGAAGTAATCTCCATATCAACTATAAAGTCTTCTTTTGAGATTGAAGATGATAAGATTGAAGTCAATTTAAGAGGCTTGAAATACTGCTGAAGTGGAGTAACTTAGTAACTAGGTGAACATTGGTGTGTGCCCATGATTACATGCCCGTACCCAAACACACATTCTGGAGTAAATAAATTATGTTTGCATGCTAACAGAGGCAAATTTTCTTTTTATGCAGCTGACCCAGCTAAAAAGTCTGATGTGAAGGCCCAGGCCTTGAAGGCTGCCAAAGCTGTGAAATCTGGTTCATCAACCTTTAAGAAGAAGGCCAAGAAGATAAGAACAACAGTCACCTTCCATCGACCAAGGACGTTGAAGAAGGATAGGAACCCCAAGTACCCTCGCATTAGTGCAACCCCAAGGAACAAACTTGATCAGTACCAAATCCTAAAATATCCACTCACCACTGAATCAGCAATGAAGAAGATTGAAGATAACAACACCTTGGTTTTCATTGTTGATATCCGTGCTGACAAGAAGAAGATCAAGGATGCAGTCAAGAAGATGTATGACATCCAGACCAAGAAAGTGAATACCTTGATTAGGTAATAGCTTACATTTTCTCTACTTATTGCAATTGATTGTTATTATTGGTATTGATATTATATTGTGTTTAAATATTCTTAACTTTGGTTTGTTTAAAATTTCAATATCAATTTATCTGGTGTGCATGTATGGTTTTGTGATTCCTTATTTTTTATAGCTTGTAAGTTCAGCACTGATATTCTATATATGGAAAAGAATCAATATCAATTTAAATATTAGTTTTACTTGTTAGCGCATGTGGATCAAGCACTTGTGCAATCATTGTTGCAACTTACAATTAGGTCATATGATCTTATAATCTGAGAGATGTGGTTATATAGTCGTTGATTGATTATTGTGGTGGATTTGGTTTTCTAACGGAAAGAAAGCATTCAATTGTTAATTTCATTGTATTTTATCCAGTCCAATGATTCTTGCAGGAGTTTGCCTGTAGGGGTGGCATCTAGGGCTTTTATGAAGCAAGCATAATTTATGATAATCGGTTTTTGTTTTAAAGAGGACAGGGAAATGTCCCATGCCAGATAAAATGGAACCATTTCATGTTCCTTTTATTGTCTGCATACACCACTAGCGTTGCGTAATTTAACAAATTTATTCTGACATGTTCTCATATTTTATACTACACTGAATCTCATTTGCGTTTGTCATTGTTTAAGGCCGGATGGGACGAAGAAAGCCTATGTGAGGTTGACACCAGACTATGATGCTTTGGATGTGGCAAACAAGATTGGAATAATCTAAGATAGTAGTCAACCTTTCATATTCCAGTTGTATGATTTTATTTGAAGTATTTTCGTTAAAATTTCCAACATTTTGGCTGAGAATTTTGTACTGAGATTTGGTTTCAATCCGCTTTTTAGTTAAGAACTGGGCTGCCGTGGATTCCACATCTTTCAATGTCATAGGCTTGGATTGGATTTTGAGTTCTGGTTTTATGATTGTATCTCGACCTTGTTACATTGTTACCATGCACACTGTTGGGGGTTTTATGCTCGTGTCAGCCTCCTGTTGATGAATCTCTTTTGGTTTGAGAAATGTCATTACATGTTAGGTGTCCCCCTGCAATCCGTAGCATGGGTTGATCATGCAGGATGCTGTCTGTCCCATTTTTTTCTAAATTTCTAGGTGTACGCTCAAATTCAATGGAAGACCAGTTCATTTGGACTGAATATTTTTCAAAATGGAAGACCAGTTCATTTGGATTGAATATTTTTCATTTTTTGAAAGGCGAAAAATGTGTTTTGAACTAAGATGTTTTTTTATACCACACTACCACCAACACCATCAGCCAGCTCCACCACGCAACTGCCATTGTCACTACCATCATCATTGCTGCCATGCCATCCCATTGCAATAGCCGCCACAACCACCCTAACACCCTGCTAACACCACTCTCACCAACCCACCACCACCACCACCTTGACTCCCACTCTCCTGCCACCACCATTAAATAGCTGCTAATACATTAATTTTATGGATGCAAAGAAACACTAGAAAATGTTTTTTGGCAGAAACAAATTGAGGGATGGATGGTTGGATAAATGTTTGCTGATGGCCTAAAGAATTAGTTTGATCAATATGAATCTTGAAACTGGATTTTAAACCCAACATTAGTTTTATAGAAGATGGGAAAATATATAATTTTATTATGAACCGATGGATGCACAAATACGACAATTTATATTATCCAAAACTAAATGGGGTCTAGGTTGAGGATTGCAAGTATAAGCAACAAAATAAATTATGATCTGGTCAGGAGAGGGCGAATAAGAAGTAAATTTTTTGATGAATTCGAAGGTAGCGGCGGAACAAAAGAATTTATTCGGGAGGGGGTAAAAATAGCTCGAAACAGGAGTGGTCCAAAAAACACCACACCTAGTCAAATCTAATACCCTTTTTACATCAAGACAATACACACGCCTAGTAGGACTACAATTTGTACAATATATAGGATCATTGCACTGTATAGCATTCTAGCTGTAATCAAAATCTCACTAGAACACATAATTCAAAGATAGACATATTTCCAATTATCAGTAGACATGAAACATCGTAAGTTACCTCAATAAAACATGAGTAGTTTGACTGGGGAATGAATTGTAATGCAGGAAGCTTAGCCATTCCCACAGTAATCTCCAACATAGTCTCTGGCATTGCTTTGGTTCTGCTAAACTCATCTTTGCTCACTGAAGAGCCCAAGCAAAGTAGCAACTATATTAGTTTCATGTCGGCCAAGACAATCTGCAATCTTGTAAAGATAAAATTGTGAGGGAGTCTAAAATGGACAAGCTCGTCTTAGTGTTTGAGAAACCCGATTACATAAAGACCAGAGTTTGAGTTTGAAGTCCAAAAGAAAAATCAAATCTAGATTAAATGCACAATAAGGGAAAATTATGTGCATAATATAAAAGAATACTCATATTAATTAAGTTTCATCAATCAAATACATAAATTTGCACACTCCAAACATAGAAAAAAATATAATAGAAATATAATTGATATATTAGTAAAAAAAAATTAATTTACAAATTATTGTGTTCACGATCCTATTTGAGCTAAGCTTGGTTCTACTCAAGATCGACTCGATTACTAAATGAGACTAAAAATTTAATTCGAACTCGTTCATTTAGCGAAGGGCTCAAGTTGTTCATGAACAACTCAATTAGTTTACAACCTTATCTACAAGTAAACTCATCGATATTGCTTTGCTTTTGCTAAAAAATCATCTTTGCTATCCTAATCAAAGCATCTTGGATCTTCTGAAGTAAATACTTGAGGGAGAATGTGAAATATACCAATTTCATTCATTACTCCATAAATCAGAGTCTCTTGAATCATGTCTTTACACAAAATTGTGAACATAAAACTGGATATAAGATTCTGTCAAAAGTTTGGAAGCTTGGCTGCTTTCCATCACATGTTCAAGAAAAACGTCAGTACCGTATAAATCTCATCCTTTTTGCTGTGTGTCCTATCCGCAGTACCAAACACATGAATGCGGTTTTCAATTTCAATCCAACTACACCCTGGGACCCTTTTCATCCCTTTCTCCCTCATCTCTTGTCTGATCATCGACATGCTCTGCCACCTCCCAGCAGCCGAATGTGCATTTGACAGCATAACGTACGATGAAACATCTCCGGGATCCAAAGCCAGAATTTTTGTGGCAGCAAGCTCTCCCAATTCCATATTTGAGTGGATTTGGCACCCTCCAAGCAATGATTTCCAAAACCCAATTCCCGGGTCAAAAGGCAAGTCGTGGATAAACCTCCCTGCTTCCTGGAAATGTCCAGAGCGAGAAAGTAGATCAACCATACAAGCATAGTGCTCTGGTTTTAGCATGTTGGGGTCTTTGAGTCTTGCTTGGTTGAAATATGAATAACCCTCATGGACAAGGCCAACATGGTTACAAGCCAGAAGTACACCAAGTAGTGTTACGCTATTAGGTTGAAGACTTGCGTGTTGTATTTTATGGAAAAGATCTATGGCTTCTCTTCCTCTCCCGTTTTGCGCATACCCACATATCAAAGCATTCCAAGAAACTATATTTCTTTCAGGAAGTTTGCTAAAGACCAAGAAACTATCTTCCATACTTCCACATTTTGCATAAAAACTGACCAGAGAATTGGCAACAAACATGCCAAGATCGCCCAAGAACTTAATCGCGCAAGCATGGAAACTTCTGCCCATTCCAAGCGCGGCTATATTGGCAGCTGCACTCATAGCACAAGGAAAAGTAGACTGGCTGGGCACAAACCCTTCTCTCAACATCTCAACAAAAAGATTCACAGCCTCCTCATTATGACCTGTTTAGCTATGCCCACCAATCATCGCATTCCACGAAACAACATTCCTCTCCGGCATTGCCTGGAAAAGCCCAAAAGCATCGTCAAACATCTCTTTCTTGAGGTACCCACAAATCAAAGTTGTATAAGAAACCACATTAGGCTCGTGAGTATCTTCAAAAGCTCTTTGAGCTTCCTCGATTGTGCTCAACTTGGCATAGAGGTCCAAAATTGCACTACCCACAAAGACATTTGACGCGAGGTCTATCTTCGCCGCACAAGCATGAAGTTGTTTGCCTAAATTGAGGTCTCGTAGAGCTGTGGAAGAGTGTATGACAGTGCCAAAAGTGAATTCATTGGGTCTGACATTCATCACAAGCATTGTTGAGAAGAGAGAGATTGCCTCCTTGTGACGATGGCGTTGAGCGAAGCGGCTAATTATTGTTGTGGCCGAAACTACGTCCCAGTCAGACATTTCGTCGAACAATTGGTGAGCATCTGAGAATGCTTTGGATTCACAGTAAGATTGAACAATGTTTGATTCAACAGCTGAAATTCCCAGTTTAATTTCACGTCCATGAGACTTCTGGGTTTCAATAGTGGATGCTTGCCTTTGAGTGTTGGAGATGGGTTGAGAGAGAAGAAGTTTACATATTCTGGATTTCATGTGTGCCTTTGTGTTTGTGGGGGTTACACATGCCCAATGAGCAAATTGGGCAACTTACATCTTTTGACTCTACAAAGCCTAATCATGCAAAATTTTAAAATTGTTTCTAACTTTTTTAATATTATTATTTGGGAATATATGTTGTGTTTGGTATAGTTTATGATTACGATTTATGGAAAAAAAAAAACAAAAAACAAAAAACAAAAAAAAAAAACTTAAAACAATTTTTTTTAAAAATTTATTACTACCAAACTTCAAAATTTTAAGTGTTAAAACTCAGTCTAAGCCTCATTTGGGAACAAATTTTGTTATTAACTTTTTAGTTTTTTTTTGAAATATGAGATGAAAAAAATTAATATGTTTGGACTAAAAAAAATTTAATTTTACATTTTACGAAAAGATATGCAAAAAATAAAATAAATGAAAATAAATATTTGACAATTTGATATTTATTAATTTTTAAAAAAAATTTAATAACTTTTTAACTTTTAAACTAATTTATGCACTTGTCAATAGTTCAGACATGAGGGCACTAACTTTGTGCAAATTACAATGAAAGGTAAGTTTGTACCTAATCTATTCTCGCCCTGCCCCCACATTCCCCACCCTATCTAGTCGTTTTTCAATTTTCTTAAATATAGTAAGATTAAAATGTCAAAATATTACACTTAACACTTAGTTTCACTTATTTATATTTTATTTGACATCTTTCAACTATTATATGTAATACATCATATTATTTCACATATTTATTAATACTGCCATTCTCCTATTAATCAATTCATGAATTGTAGGATTCTAACAACCATGATACTACCATGTTGGTGTTTAAACCTGGTTACTCGTCATGATAGATTAAACTAATGCTTTGTATTTGAAGATCGATTTTCTTTTCTTAATGTAGATGTGAGGTAATGGAGTGAAGTGCTTCGCTAGATTTATTGTTGAGCTTGATTACTTACATGGGAGGCAAAGGTATGGTTAGCAGCTGATCTCATGGTTATTATATTTCCCTTGTCAAATTTTCTTATGAGAGCACTCCTCATAGTTGTCTCATATACTCATCAAGTCTTTTGAACTTCCATCCATGGTTCCATTCATTGCATTTTTGTCAGTCCTTTTGTAGGTTAGATTAGAGATGACCTCCAATAGATTTTTCTCCATGTTTCTTCAGCTTCTTGTGGTGGTTGATGAGATTAAAATCTGAAATTTTAAATTGTGCTGTTTGTATTAAATTTCCAACAGTCTTATGCAAGATTCTCTTATGTTTCTTTATTTCTATCAATCAAAAATGTTTGTTAATTTGGTTCAATACCAAAGTTCCTATCTTTAGAGGTCATGACATGACGCGATGACAAGTGCTATTTGCCTTCAACACTATGGCACAGGTTTGAGTCAGGGACTCAACCTTTGGATAAAAATGGGGGTAAGGTTGCTTACCTGCCGCTTTTCCCAGACCATGCTCTAAGCGAGAGCTTGTACCCTGGGCACAATCTTTAGTTAAAATTATGTCATCATGAATGTGCTTAATGTTCTTAATTCTTGGAGAATTTGTAATGTGATAACTATTTAAATTTTGTAGTTTCACAGCTGGTCTAATTGTTCTTGAAATTTAAGTTGATGGGAAGTGTGGGACATATTTTGTGAATAACAACACATAGTCAAGGTGGCACCAGAGTGTTAGCCGAGGTGCCACATGGCTTAGTCATGTTACCGAGATGATCTTGGCAAGGGTGAGACTATCTGCGGAAATACCGGAATTTGAGATAAACGGATAAAAGACAAGAGTCCTAGAATGGGGGGAGGACCTCAATCTGGATAAAGATAAAGCTCTAGCTCTTGAAGAGTATATCTCTATCTAGTTGGGAGTCCAAAATGAGCATTGAGCAAAAATCTATTGAAGCTAGGCTTCTACAGGAATTAGGTTAGTGCTGGCTATAAAAATAAGGCACCCTCGTGAGTCTAAGGTATGTTTTTTATGCTCTATCTAGTGAGTTAAGCACTATTGGCTATCTTTGAGAGATAATTACTAACTTGATTGTCGGAGTGCCCCCGGGTAGACGAACCACCGTCGAACTCTTATCTTTCTGTGACAGGTTGTTCGGGTTTAATCTATTCTGCCGATGCTCTCCTGCTGAGTATTCCATGTTTGGTTGTGTGGTCAAAAATCAACATCCACAATTTGGTGCCATCTGTGGGAACGTAAGGAGAATAGATGGCCAATGACGGGTAAAAAGAAAAGGTCGGGGACGACATCCCTAGTGGGAATGGCAAACACACCGGTCCTATGGTAGAGAAGAGAACTGTAATAAAGAACCCCAGGAGCAAAATCCCGAGGAAAAGGATGTCGACCAAGAGGGAGACGTACCAAAGAAGGCAAGTCAAGGCGAGTATTACAATGAAAGTGACCTCCAAATATGGAACAATAGATGCCTGCCGAGGGACGGCGAGATGAAGGGAATGGCAAACAAATTGGCAGACCTACAATAAATTATCAACTTCATGATGCAGAACAACGTCATGCAGCCACCGTTTCCATTTGAGGACGCGCCGATTCCAATGGCCAAGAATGATGCCCAGAAAAGGGGATAGAAAGCAATCCCTGCAGCCCCTTAACATGACAGGGCAAAAGAGCATTCGCATCGGCCTTCACGGGAGGTCGGGCGAGAAGAATCAATGAAAGGAGAATCTTAGAAGACACCTCGTGCCAAGGAAACTTATGTCAAGGAATATTGGCATGTTCAAGGGAAGGAGCTTTGTTTTGACATGATGAATGAAGGAAGGTCCAAGAGGACTTATAACGACATTGGGAGCAGCGCACCAAAGATGCTAAAATCCATTGACAGCCGAGCTCCTGGACGGGCTAAGGAGGATTTGAGGGACTACCTCCAGAGGAAGCAACAAGATGCCGAGGTCACATCTCCGGTCAAGCCGAGAACGCCGTTCTCAATAGAATTGGATAAGTTTAAGGCTAAGAAAAGGTTCCACATGCCGAGATTTTAGATATACGACGATAAGTCCGATCCTTTTACGTCGGCTTATATTTGAACTCAATGGCACTGTATACTGGGAACGAACCGTTGTTCTACAAGGTGTTCCCCTCATTCTTTGGAGAAATCGCATAAGATTTTTTTCATAAGTTGCCGAAAGAAACTGTGAAAAGTTGGGAAGGCCTGACCGAGATGTTTGAGGCCAGGTTTGTTACAAACAAACTGCAATCGTTAAGGGTAGACTCCCTGATGGCTCTGAGAATTAGCGAGGATGAAAGCCTCAGGGCTTATGCCAAAAGGTATTATGAGGTGTTTAACAGAATACCAGGGTGCAACCAAGAGTTAGCGGTTGTATCTTTTAAAAATGGCCTGAACGATGACTGCATGCTTCGAAAATCATTAGCAAAGACGCTGCCAAAAAGTATAGAGGAACTCATGGCCAGGATCGAGAAATATGTGAGAGCTGAAGAAGACACGCTAGAAATAAAGACGACAAAGTAAGAGAAGAAAAATGGCTCGTCGAAGCGAGGCCGAGGTAATACATATAGACAAGAAACAAGATTGAAGGCTGCATAGGCAATCACCACAGTGTTCCAAATCCCGGTTTACAAAGTCCTAGAAAGGATCAGGAACCAGCTTTATTATAGAGCACCAGATAAGATTCCTGGCGAATTTATAGAAGAAGCCTTGGGAAGCACTGTGCCTACCACAATGAGGATGGGCATCTGAATCAGGAGTGCAGAGCCCTAAAGACACATCTGGAAGATCTGGTAAGACAAGGTCACTTAAGGGACCTAGTAGATGAGGCCAGAACAAGGGAAGAGCAAGCAAGGCTGTCCTAGGCACCGGCAGCACCACCTCCACCAGCACTGCAACCGCAAGCAAATGGACCTTGAACGATCAATGTGATTTACTCGAAGGTCAATGAGAACGAGCTACGTGGGGAGACTCAGAGGGTAAAGCACTTACAACATGTGTATTAGGTCCAGCAAAAGAGGCCTAGGGCAGACGAGTACCAGGGACCAATGGTGTCCTTTACTGAAACCGACCTAGACATGGTGCAACATCCATACGACAATGCTCTGGTGATATCCCTCAAGATTGGAGAATACCAGGTAAGGCGCATTTTGATTGACCAAGGCAACTCTTGTGACATCATGTATGTCAGATGTTACAAGGAGCTCGGCCTTCACCGAGATGATCTGGAGCAGTCTAACAGTCCAATGGTCGGGTTTAATAGAACGCCGACATGGCCCCTGGGAGCAATAAGTTTGGAGGTGC